TTTTGAAGGGTTTTTCTTTTTGATAGAGAATTATTGTAAACAAACAAATGAAAGCACTTAACAGCTAGAACACGTAGAAATAGGTGAGTTCCACAGGGTATTTATTAAATAGGGGCTTGGTGAGTAATTGCATGAGCAATGGAAATGTTAACTTTGTTAACTGCCTGAACTTCTGTTCCACTGAGAGCATTTGCATATCCTGCCTTTCTAAAGAAAGTGAGCATAATTTATATATTCATGAGTTCTCTCCTTATTCATTTGTATCACCCCTAACAGCCATCACAGGGCAGTGCATAAAGAATGAGTATGTTTTCAAATCACGGTTCACAATCAAATAGCTTGTGAGCCATACATGTTTTCTTTGGCCATTACCATGAATTTGAATGTTGTTGGACAGGGGACCATTCATTCTCCAGCTCACCACAGATCCTAGTGTTTCCTACTGTTGAATACCACTTCACCGGTTTCTCTTCCTGGCCAGTGAAGGCCTTTTAATTGGTGCCCCATACGTTAAACAAAAGGAAGAATTATTGCAAATTACTCTTATCTATACGATTTGACTTGCTAACCTACAGTACTGAAGCCTCTTTTACCTGTGATGTTTCAATGTGTACTTTAACAAAATTGCCTTTTTAAAAAAAAAGTTCTAGTCCCTGGGAACATTCACAATTCAATATAGAATGATATGCACAAGATTATAGTGTATAAAATAAATGTATTAATGGCAAAATAACATAAAAAATTCATCAAACTGTCAGGTTATTAATTTTGGGGTTGTGAGATTACAGATTTTTCTTAGTTTTTTGTATTTTCAAAAGTTTTCTGCAGTGAGCATGAATTACATTTATAGTTAGAAAAACCCTTTTGCAAACAAATAAATGTTCACAAATTTAAGTTGATTGTCCTTCCCACTCTTGAAATTTGAGATGAGGAAAAAGAGTATTTACTGAGTGCCAGCTTGGTCATAGGCACAGTGCCAAATGCTTTACTTTCAACTGTAAAAACCCTATGAGGGAAAGGTATTAAAGGCCCTCATTTCTGAGATATAAAACAATTACCTCAGTTTAATTTTATGGAAAAATAGTGAAAACTCTAGGACACATGGCTATAGAAATCTGGAGAAAGATGAGGGGAGATGAAACTACCTTAAAAATAATTAAAGGCAGTGAAAGAAGAGAAAATAATGGAGGAGAAGGGCACAGAAAATAATTATTTATTCATGCATTCATCAAATATTTAGTTTCAACTATTTCGAGATACTTTGCTTGGGACCGTAGGGTATACACAGATGGGTCTGACACAGATCAAAAGGTAACATACACATAACAGTCCTTCTACACATATTCAACATAATATCCTGCCTTAATGGAGCATAATAAAATCGAGATCACATGCTCGACAACAACTAAAGCAAGGAAGGGAAATAAGAGTCATCTGAAAAAAAAAAGTCATCTGAGAGGCAGAGAATAACTGTAAAGTGAGTTGAGAGGAAGAAATAACTTCTGGCTGAAGGGGATGAAGAGGGCAGGGGAAGGGTGGAAGGATGAAGGGGACAAGGTAGGGGGAAGGGGTGGAGGGATGGAGACGGCAGGGGAAGAGGTAGATGCTCATAACAAGCCAAGGGGTCTTAACCTCTCCCCTGAGTGCCAGGCCTGTACTTAAAGATGTTTACTGTTCATCTCTCCCAAGTGACTCAAAGGCCCTCAAATTCTGTGTTCCCAACCCAATCTGTCACCCACCACCTCCTCCCTCTGTGTTCCTTGTCCTGGTTAATAGATTTATCACCCATTCAGAACTTCATTTATTCAACAAATGATCACTGAGTGGTATGTGCAGGCACTAGATCCAGGTAAGACACAGATAATTAAACAAGTAAACGTACAAGTATAAAAGTACAGGAAAAGTGAAGGAAAATGTGAGAGAGAAAAATGAGATAGGAGTGTTTAGGTTGGATTTTCCAGAGAGACCTCTTTGAAGAAGTAACATTCTGAGAACAGAAAGATGAAAGGAAACTAGGAAGATTCAGGATTGTAGGGGACGTTCCCAGGAGAGGGAAACAGCCTAGACAGAGAAACTGAGGGAGGAAAGGATTTAGCAAATGAGAACGGAAAGGAAGCCTCTGGAATGACATCAAGGAAAAGAGGGGGTGAGTGTGGTGGGAAATGAAGGTAGTGTCTTCTATAAATTCTGAATTGTATTCTGCATGCAGTGAAGAAACAGCAATGAAAACACAGATGCTGTCCCTGCCTTCAGGGGGCATCCAGCCTAGTGATGAGCACAGACCATTAAACAACTGATTTCAATCCGTGGCAGAAATGTCAGGATAGGAGACACAGAGAGTGCTGTGACAGCACTGAGGGACACCTAATTCAGTCTGAGAGGTATCGTCACTCTCCACTGGGACCACTGCAGCTAAGAAGTTACACAGACTTCAGTGTCTACCATCCAATCCAGCTTTACCCAGCTACCTGTCATCTGTCCTTAATACAAGTGACAGCATGTGAAACCCATCCATGCCCTCCCAGAGGATAAATTCTAAACTCCTTGACCTCATGTCACTGTTTGGCCCTAACCTGTATCTTCTTGATTTAAATTCCTACTACTCTCTGTCACAATGATTTTTAAAGGTCTTTTTTAATCAACCTAGAGTACGAAATATGTTTCACCAGTACAAATGCGTATTTCAACATAAAACACTAAAACAAAAGTTTCAAGAAACAGTTCAAGGAGGATTACTTTGATACTTTCTATTCCATTTTTCCACCTTAAAAAGCTGGTTGTGATTGATTCATGATCTGCTAATGGGCCCTGGGCTGCAATCTGAAAATCAGTAATTGCTCCCTCCACGACCACCTTCTCTACACACCTCTAAACGAGGTCTGTTCTTTCACCCTTTACCCAAGCAGTCCTGGGCACCAGGAGTGCCCTACCTTCCTTGTTCATTCACCTAGCAGTTTCCTTCTGGCCTTTCAAGGCTCAGTTCAAATGTTACTTCTTCAGAGAAACCTTTCCAGATACTGCCCCAGTCACCATGCTTCCATCCTTAGAGGTCCCAGGGCATGGTACTCCCTGAGTGATAGTAGTTGTCATGTTGGGTATATTATAATGGCTTTCTTTTTTAAACAAGTTAGTCTGCTCTGGACTAGGTTTCTGGATGTTTCATCTCAGGCTCCACGTAAGGTCCAATATGAAGCAAAAGGTCAGGGAGTGTTATGCTGAATAAATGAAAACTGATCTTGTCTCGTACCACCCTCCCCACACCCTCACCATCTTGCCTGTGCACCGATAAACTAGCTTGCTTGCTTTTTCTCAGATATACCAAAGTCTTCCCTCCCTTGAAGCCTTACTGTCCCACTCTCTCCCCTGCATTTCCATGGAGGGCTGTTCCCACTTTATCTTCAGATCAACAGTCTACCCTCAGAGAGGCTCTCTGTCGAACCTCCCATCACATTTCCTTCGTCTTTATAGCATTCATCACTCCCGGAAATTTTTCTGTTTGTTGGTCTACTTATCTATCTTCCTCAATATAAGATTAGATTTTTGAGAGAGGTGGTGTCCTGAGATTCCCCCAGTAATTTCAACATCTAGAACAATGCACAGCTCAGTGGGAGCTCAACAAAACATCTAAGGAGCGAAGACAGATGCGGGCACATAAATCTTAGGGGCCCGTCTTGAAGCCGCCTCGAGGGTTCCCTGGCAGAGCCGGGTACTACGGCTTGCGCAAGGCACCCAGGCCCACAGCGGTGACTGGGAGTGAGGGACGGGGCTGAGGCTCCCAGGTACCACGTTTCAGGGCCTACCAGTAGTAAGTGACTGTGCAGGCCCTGCACACCCGCTCGGCCGGGGCTTCGCACACCTCACAGCAGAGCCGGCGCCCCTTGGGCACCGCCAGCGGGTAGATCACGTTCATGCTTCTGCAGGCGGTGTTGTCGGACTCTGGGACGGTTGCCCGGCAAGGACATACAGGACGCCGGTGCCACGTGACCAACACGGCGCAGGCACTTCAAGGGCAGGGGAGAGGGGCGTGGCTCGACTGACAGTGGCAATGCGTTTGCGGGTTTAATTTTAAATAAAAAACAACTCACGAAAAAAAAAAAAAAACCCGCCGCTAACGAGTCTCAGAGGTTAATCAGCCGGGCAGTCTAACTTCAGTGGGGTCTAAGTCCAGGAGGGCCTGTACGGTGGCCGGTAAGGGTCAAACGCAGCCAGCTCCTCACCCAAGCTAGGACACTAATACGAGTGGGTGTAACCGCCTCCAGAGGCCCGCCCACATGAGAACCCCGCCCGCTCAATTTCGCAGGCGGGGGCGGAACCAGCACGGCTTTCCAGACTTGCAGAACCTCTGCGCTGGCGTCCTGCGCAAGGTAGTGAACCGCCCCGTCACTATTGCGCCTG